GAGTTTTATGATGAACACTGACCAATGGAACTACGACAAATATTAAATATCCAAAATATAACGCAAAGAAAAACAAGAAATAAAACAGAAATGGAGAACACACACAACCAGAACCATAAATAAAATGGATTATGAAGACTATAAACCAAATTACCCTTCAGAAATATGAATAATCTGGGTGGAAATGATCAATTTATCATCCAGTTAATTGGTTGAGTGCTTGTTGCCCCAGGGTTAACCTCGGTCAGAGGGTGGCGCCAGACACACAGCAAGGAAAGAAAACAACAACAACCAGATGTTAAGTTAAAATCCAGAGGAAATAAAACTTAGAATCCCAAATCACCAGGTGGTGAAAATTCTGGCAAACTCTCAGCCAATCATCAAAGGGCTTTTAGCGCAAGAACATTACTAACCTTTTCTCCGGTTTGACCTGTTCCTGCTCTCGCTGCCGGACTCTTGACTCTGCTTTCTTTAACTAGGACAGCGCTCTGATCGCCACTGGCTCTGCAGACAGGAACGTAAAGATCTGGGGTTTGGATTTCGGCGACTGCCACAGATCTTTGTTCGCTCATGACGACAGGTACGGACCGACACGCGCCGTAAGAAACCAAGCATAAGTTTGCTGGAACAGCGCCGCGCTCTTTCTCCTCACCGCGCTCTTCGCGTCTCGTTTTTTTGTCCCGTCTTTAATCGAAGCGTTGCAGGTTTCAGAGATTTGCTCATCCCCGTGTCCTCTCTGCTCTCCCCAGCGTCATGTTTCTCCAGTTCGTCCCCAAGACTCATTTGTTCTTCACCGCTGGGAAGGACAAGAAGATCAAGCAGTGGGACGCTGACAAGTTCGAGCTCATTCAGACCCTGGAGGTGAGCCTGTCCTCCGAAGCGGCGGCTCCGCCTACAGCCCCAACTCTGACCCGCTCCGTTTGGGTTTCAGGGTCACCATCGGGAGGTCTGGTGTCTGGCCATCAGCCCAACGGAGATCACCTGGTGTCGGCGTCTCACGACAAGTCCCTGCGTCTGTGGGAGCGGACCAGGGAGCCCATCATTCTGCAGGAGGAGCGGGAGATGGTGAGCTGGGAGCGCCTGGCCAGCAGTCAGCGTCTCTGCGTCTGTGTTTACGCTCCGTTTGTGTTTACAGGAGAGAGAAGCTGAATTTGAAGAGAGCATGGCCAAAGGAGACGCACCTGTGGTGAGCGCCACCGTTTTTAAGTTTCTTGACTTGAATATGTTTTTTTTTTCCATCTCACCTTAGCTAAAGTAACATTATAGCAAGGGATGCTAATAGTTGACTTACAATTAATTGAGTACTAATAGTTTAAAACTAGTTCCAGTTCATTACCCAACTTAGACCTGTTCTTTGTACCTGTAGTTTGGCTGCCATCCAGAAGAGGGCGCCAATGGTCATCCTTAAGTGGAGCCAGTTGATAAGTAATAAAGATGGCGGGGTCTTACCAGAGTGGGAAAGACAAACGGTCCAAACAGAGTCCAGTATTGGAAACAAATTCATGTTACGCGGTTTTGTTTTGAAATATAAACTCTCAACAAGCTCCTTAAGTTATCGACTGAGTAGCGCTGACTCAGCCAAAGTGCTGCATGACAGAGCAGCATCAGCTTTTTATGAGAAAATTAGCCCTTTCCTTGAAACAACAATCAATAAATCCAAACAATGAGATAAATCAACTTTAGATTAACTTGCATCCCTGGTTTCAGCTTAAGCAGCTGAAAATCCGGTTTCAGTTCATTTAATATTCACTTTAAATAAAACAGTTTCTCTTTTCCTGGTGTTCAGTGTAATTTACAGAAAGATAATCAGGGCCGTAGCACCGATTTTCTCTCAAGTCAGGCTTCATAAAGAAAGGCAGTTTGTCGCTGTTTGAGGGCAGCGATCCGTGGACTAACACCGCTCCGCCTGCAGGTACCAGGAGAGACGGAGGGCGAGGCGGCACCAGCTGGGAAGAAGAGCATCGAGACGGTGAAAGCTGTAAGTCGCCTTCTGCTCCGTTAGCGCCTCCAAGGCCAAACGGGGACGGTAACCATGGATCACTTGCCTGCAGGCTGAGCGAATCATGGAGGCTCTGGAGCTTTACCGAGAAGAAGCCAGGAAGTCGGAGGAGCACAAGTATTTCTGTGAGAAGGCTGAGAAAGAGGTGAGAACTTGTTTCCTCAGATGCTCACACACGAGTTACGACTGACACTAAAATCGGCTGATCGGCTCGTTTTTCAGCTGCCTCCTCCTGAAGCCAACCCCATCCTCGTCGCCTTTGGAAACGTTACTGTAAGCGAATTTCTAAATGCAGAAGGAAAAACAATTCTTTTATGCAGACAGTGACCTTGGATATTTCGCTCTTTCTCTGGCAGCCGTCCCGCTACGTTTTAGATGTAATAAGAAAAGTCAGATCCAGGTAAAAAATAAATAAATAATTGAACAGAACTATTCCTCCCTCTTTTTTCTATATTTTTTCCTTTTACTATAATGATTTTTGTCTTCTGTGGGTGATCACCAGTGAGCTGGAGGTTTCTCTGCTGGTGCTGCCGTTTTCTTACGTCCCTGAGTTGCTGAAGCTTTTCAACACCTACATCCAGCAGGGCCTGGAGGTGGAGCTCGTCTGCCGCTGCCTGTTTTTCCTCCTCAAGTAAGACCGAGCCGAGTGAATGTGTCAATTTACAGTCGATTATTTCACGTGTGGCGTAATTAGTTTTGTTGTAATTGCTAACTTTATCTACACATAGACATCTTTGCCTCGATCTCAGAGACATCCTTGGAATCTCTTTCTTCATTACAGCTCAACAGGCTTTCTGAAGGCCTTTAGGTTTTTCTTTAATAGTTTATTTATTTTTAGGCATCCAAAGACAATACGCTAACAAAGCAACAAAACAAAATAATACAAAAAAGTTCCCAAGACATGGTCTTTCAACTTAACTTTTTTTAATTGAACTCTTTGTGAAATTGAGGAAGTTATTTTGAATCTTGTTGTTTCAAATGTGATTCTTTGAAATGCACTTTAAAAAATAGACGAAGACAAAATCTCTTTATATTTGTTCAAGCAAACCCGACGTATTACCCCAATATTGCTATGTTCCACATTTTTAAATGGATATTTCTGAATTTTCATTTTAATTGCAATTGCAGCTTCAGTTGATTGTTTGCTTTCAGGATCCATTTCGGTCAGATCACCAGTAACCAGATGTTGGTGTCCGTCATCGACGAGCTGAAGACCAACACGCTCTCCAAAGTCTGCCAAATCAGAGTAAGTCGTCATCTGCGTAGAGACGCATCCTGTGGCTTTAAAGCTACAGATTTTTTTCTCTTCCTGTTTTATAAAACTACCTTTGATTTTTTAACTTTAAGATATTTTGTTAAAATTGTAAGACATGAAAGGTGAACACAGCCCAGGCTTTTACTTGTATTTATTGTACATCTTTATAACAAGTGCAGCAACAGACATTATACAGACTATTTTAGCATGTAATTGTGAATAATTTAGATTGAACTTAATCAACAAACGTCGTGCCTTTAACGACACAAAGGTGTTACGCTCCCAACCTTTATGTCTAAAAAAGTCAAACTATAACAGGCCCTCCAGGAGGAATTTGTTTTTTAGTGGGTAATGACCAGTTTCCGGAATTTAAAATCAGTCACTGAAGTCTGAATTTATAGTTTTCATCTTTTCTAACTCAAAAAAAGAACCTTATATCTCATAACCTTGAAGTCGGAGGCAGATTACGATTTTACAACTAAAATATAATTCAACATATCGTCTGCATAGAGAGCAAGTCGATTGGTTTTGATCAGCACCAAAACCAGTCGTTATTTTCTCTGCAACATGCTTGATTTTCTAATTCTGTTGCTTCAGGATGTGCTGGGCTTTAACAGCGCCGCCCTCCAGTTCCTCCAGCGGGAGATCGAGAGCAAAGAGGATGTGATGTTCTTCGCTGATGCCACAGGCCAACTGGAGGAGAAGAAGAAGAAAAGGAGGAAGAGGGAGCGCGCCGTTCTGACCATCGCTTAAATTTATAAAGAACATTATTGGTGTTTCGATGCAAATGTCCTCCCCGCTTTAATTCCGACCCAGACCAGGTGGATTACTTTTTATACGTTGTGAAACCCCGGCAGGATGTAACTCAGTGGTGAGCAGTGACATGCTTTATTCCCCAAATAAACAGAGTTTGAAGTTTTCTCACACAGCTTCATTTGTAACAAATAAATCCTGTGCGGCTGAGCGAGCCATCCGTGTGCACAGCGCAGCCGCCATAAAGCGCAGTAATGTGCGGTCAGGTTTTTAATAGATTCCTGTCATGTTTAAAGCCGCGCCGCGTCCGTGATCACCACGCACAGAGGACACGTTTGATTTAGGCTGCTTCCGCTTCACGAGCCCAAAGGGAGGCGTTCGGGTCGGGGACAGAGACGGTCTGGGATGAGGCAGCAGTTTGGGACGATGCCAAAGTTCATGAGGTTCAGCTGTGAGTCAATAACTTTCAAGTTTCAGTAATTCATTTTAAAAAGGGAAACTCAAATATGGATTCATTACATACACTGATTCATTGTAAAGGCAACTTACTGTGCCTTTTTGATCAGGTCAGGATATGTACAAAACATGTCCATTACTTTTTTTTTGACAAAATTATTCTTAATAAGAGTTTAGTCAGTTCTGCCTATTTTCAGCTTTCATAATGAGCTGTTTTAAGACTTATTACTTTAAATACAAGCTGCCTCTGGCTGCATCCCATCACGTTTACACTCGCATTTGAAAATTGCTACAAACTGATGCTCAATTATACAGATGTACAGCTTTGAAAATCAGAAGTAGAGCCTCCTGCACAACCAACAAGCATGCAGCAAGTGGTTTCTGGATTGTAAGTCAACAACCAAACACTTGACTTTTCCAGCAGCCGTTGTACAGAGCAAAGAGCGTTAACAATCAGCTGAATAAAGTCCGGCCACAATAGATTGCTGCATGTTACACTTTGAATTAAAAGGCAGAAACGTTTTTGGGTTTTTTTTTGTCTTTATTGAAAATTTGAAGAAAACAGAATGACAAGGCACACATCAGTAACAAAAGTTTGACATGACAAACTGCGCAGAAAAAAACAGATAAATGAAAAAAACAATTCACACTAACAATGTGAGGTAAGTATAACAAAATGAGTGGAATTTTAAAACTTAAGCTATTGACATTAATATAAAGATTGTGATTTGTGTTGCGATATTTAAGCACTGCCCAGGTACAGGATGAACTCCTATGTCCTCCAGTTTACCTGATAACTCACCCAAACCAGCTTTGTTTCTAATGGAGTCTATAAAAGACTAGACACATCTTTAATAAATACTATCAGGGAGAGTTGTTGCCAAAATGTTCAACATATGATTGCAAGAATGTCAGGGTTGTGCCATTAGTAGTTACTTGCAGTAGCACATTGGTGCTTACGGTTGTTCTGACCGTTCTCTATCTAACCACTGCACCTAACTTTGTAGGCTTGAAATATCGATATGCATGCAAGCCCCTCTTCTCCAAGCAATTACCTGATACTTTTTAAAAAATAAAGCAGATAAGTACTTAACGTCAAATAAGGGAAACAGACTCCACTGTACATGCATACAAGTGGTATCAATCTTAGTAAGAGTTCTTGGGCGTCTCACCATTTTCTGATGCCGCTCTGGGCGACTGCCCATTTCGCCCATATCAAAACCCGCGACTGCATATTGAAAACATGTTTTATTGTCTCAAAAAAAACAAACAAAAAAATTTTTTAATTGTCCAGTGAATACTTTTGTCTCGACAATTTTGGTCCATGTGACTCCATTTGTCCATCTGACATCCTGCTCTCTCCTCGTTGGAGCCTTCTGTGTTCACCAGCAGCCTGGGTTTCACCTCCACTTCCCATCAGAGCTCCACAGTTCTCAGGTGTCCGCGAGGGGAAACTGCAGCCAGTACGCTCTGAGGCAAACACTCGGACTTCTCCGCCGTGCTGCCGCAGCAGGACCAGTGGGGCTTCCCTGGATGCCCCTTGTGGCCGTGACCGCAGCCTTTAAATCCTCCTGCAGGAGGTTTTGAATCGTCTAAAACGCGCCTACATGAAAACCATGCAAGCAATTGTTTTTTGGGTTTTTTATTTATACGTACCTGGCATGGTTCCTGGGCAGCCACAGCGAGCCTCTTTAGCGCCTCCGCTGGAGCAGAAGGAGCAGCAGTGAAAAGTCCCGTTGTGCTGCCTGAACTTTCTCTGCACATTCAGAATAAATGGAGAACCCTGCAGGAAAACACTGTGAGCAGAACTGAACCCGTTTTGTTCCCTGTTGTACATTTGCCTTAAGGCTCGACTGAAGGTGTTTCACTGCCATCTAGTGGACGAAACCTTCGCACAGTTATTCCAGGATGCTTCATAAATCTGAGTCTTTTACATGCACTGTAGTCAAACAAGAGAAACACAAATATCACAGCAGCAGAACGTGTTCTGGTTCTGGACTGGTTCAGCACCTTAACATGTTGGGCTCTGACACAGACACACACTGAGTACTGTCCTGCTTCCTCTGGCCTGTAGGAGACGCTGTAGCTTCCATCACTGTTGTCTGCCACCACTGTCTCCACGGTGCTGAGGGGCAAAAATAACTCATTTCAATAACAGAAAATCAGAAAGTTAGCTGTAAAATATACATGAATAATTTCTGTTTTTTTTTTTTTTGCTTTTCTTGAGTATCTGTATTAGGTTAAAGAAAAAAAAGTGCATTTCTCTGTCTTATTAACTTACTTTGAACAGAAGGCGTTTTGAATTTTATTCACATGGTAATATTGTTTGCATAATAAATTCAATCATTTATAAAATTCACAACTTTATGAAAAGAATTTCTGGACGTCTCAGTTTCTTACTCTTTCTGGATCAGCGGTGGAGCAGACATGTTCACTCACCAGTTCTTCTTCTCTTTGTGGACGATGCTGACCAGGACGTGTTCTCCTCCTCCAGCCAGCCGCTCCCCGCCGGAGTCCCGACACACCAGGGTGAAATGTCCCCGCTGAGCTGCCGTACCCTGCTGCAGACCTGCGGCCACGGCGGGCGGAAGGTCAGAAAGACGCCGTCACTGAACTGTAACCGCACGGCGTCAGAAAATCCACGAGACGCAAACTTTAACTAAGAGAAACACTTAATTTCATCCAACTGACACGACAAAGACGAGACAGGAAGGAAGTCAGCTGCTCACCTTCTCCTTCAACGGTGCACCTGCTGACGTCCACTGTCCTGGAGTGGACCACGCCCACCAACGGGTAACCTTCCACCTCTCCGGCCGGCTCCCTGGGCAGGAAACAGACGCCGTCGTCGGGGGCGACCGTCGCGGGGTGGGGGTCGTACCCACTCTCCGCCAGGCTGGTCAGTCTTCTCAGGGTCACTCCTTTAGCGCTGAGGATCTCGGCGTCAGAGCCGCAGCTCAGCAGCCGCTCCGCAAACTCCACGCTCCCTCTGACGTCCAGCAGGGCCTGCTGCAGCTGCGCCCTCTGCAGGTGGAGGTGGTTTCTGGAGGGAGGAAGTGATTGTGGTGAACTAGGGCTGAAACGATTCATTGACTGATTCAAAGACCTCGATTATTAAAGTTCCTTGAGGAAAACTGACCTGCCTCGAAGCTTGGGTAATTTATGTTTTATTATTTAGTGCACAGTTTTCCAGCCGGAACATTGTTTGGTTGCGTGGAGCTCTGACTTCCGCCTCTCAAAGCTAAGTGTTAGCGGCATAACATCCAGTTTTACTTCTAGTTTTTTTTCCTCTTTTTGTAATTTGTTCCAACATTGTAAAATAAAAATAATGAATGGTCATGGTTGCTGACCCTTGACCTTAGGAGCATATGGGAATTGTTTTCATTTCCCCGTCCAAAACTCATTACTGCTGCAGCAGAGTGCAGTGATGTCCTACCTGCGTTGCACCCTGATCTCCTCTAGGCGGCGCAGCAGAGACAAGCAGTGAGCCTCCACAGCACTGGCGTACTGGCGCGCGAAAGCTCTAATCTGATTGGCGGTTTCATCGACTCGAACCTCCAAATGTTCTTGAGAAATTTCCACCTGCAGGAGAATCGGAATGTGGAAAATAATAAGTTATGTTTTACATTTGAATATGAAAACCTACATGGACAGCTGATATTGGATAACAACATATAAATGGGTCTTTTTCTGCGCAGTGGAACAGTTGGTAGCATTGTTGCCTTGCAGCAAGAAGGTCCTGGGTTCGATTCCCAGCCTGGGGTCTTTCTGCATGGAGTCTACATGTTCTCCCTGTGCATGGTGGGTTCTCTCCGGGTTCTCCGGGTTCTTCCCAAGGTCCAACAACATGACTGTCAGGTCGATTGGTCTCTCTAAATTCTAGGTGTGTGGTTGTTTGTCCTGTCTGTCTCATCCCCAGTCAAGGCTGTCAGAAAATGGATGGATGGTCTTTTTGGGGACCTTTTGCAGCGAGTCCTCCAGTCGCTCCAGACGAGGCCGAAGGCGAGCGCTGACCAGTTCTCGTATCCGGTCGCCATGACGGTCGACGACGTCGTGTGTCGGGCGGCAGCGGTGGTCCCGGTGCAGCGTGGCGGCGCATTCCAGACACACCGGCAGGTCGCAGGGCTGGCAGAAGAGCCTCAGCTCCTGGCCGGGGTGAAGGGAGCAGAGGACGGGGCGGCAGAGCCGGCCGCGGGCCCTCAGCTCCGTCACGGCCTCAACAGAATGAGACGCGGTTCGCTTCTGCCGCCTGTAGGTGGGAGGGAGAACAGATCCTTTAGGGTTTGTGGATTTTACAGCGGGTGACAGCCAACGTTTGGATTTATTATTGCCATATACTGTGCTGGAGTATGAGCTAGTATTTTCCTTATCTATTTAAACTCAATTCTTGTAAGACCGCTTCTTCAGGAAATGTAATTTATTTATCTTATGTTGAAATACCTCGCTCAGTGTCTCCGAACCATACTTTCTTAATTCTTCTTTTAATTATTCTCGACTCATCCTATATTTTTCACTCTTATATGCTTTAATGTTTCCATATCCGCACCAATACCAGATCTACCTGTTGGATGTTCACCCACAAACGTAAAGTTTTATTAAACCCTGCATGTCCGAGACGTAACCTCGTCATCCGAGACTACTCGTCAATGTTCCTTTTGGTTCTTCAAAATGTGTGGCAAGTAAAAAAATAGAGAAAGATTCTGCCAAATAACAGAGGTCAAAGAGGTCAACAATGCACAAGGAACAGAACATTCAGACGGTCCAACAAAGTATTAGGGCCGTTATATATAAAAAAGGGGGAAAATTGCCAAAAGGAGTATTTTCTTTCCAAAGAACTCTGAAAATTTGAAATTAATTTTCATGTTTACAAGTAAAAACTTGACTATTCTCTGAGTTTGAAAACATTCTTTTCTTGTAAACTATTGTTGGTTTACAACAAAAGAAATGAGAGTTCAAGGGGTGAAAGGCTTTAGACTGAAACAGAGATCATGTCAAATCAGGTGGAGTTTTGTAAATCAAACTAATTGAGTGGCTGCGCGTGGAGATCAGTGCAGAAAGTAGGGCCTCCTCCACCTGTGCGCCTGGCGGCAGAACTCGCACAGGTTCAGGCTGCACGCCTCGCAGCGGCTCTCGGCGCTCCCCTCGCCGCACAGGTCGCAGCCCAGCGGGCCGCCGCTCACCAGGGCCTCCAGGAACACCTCGTCCAGCGCCAAGCGGTCCGTGCTGAGCCCGGCCGGTCCGGACTGAGGGATGTCCACCTCGGTGTCGCACTCGGGGCAGAGCACGGTGAACGACAGTGAGTCTCGGCGCGGCTCGGCCGCTTCCGCTGCAGTGACGAGGCCCCGCGGAGGCGCAGAGAACCGCTCCAGCTGCCCGACGCAGTCCGAGCAGAAGGTGTGCAGGCAGGGGAGGATCTTGGGCTCCCGGTACAAGTGTCTACACACGCCGCAGACTGCTCTGGGGTTCACAGAGGCACTTCCAGGTTCCGGTTCCGAGCTCACCGTCGGCTTGTCTGCGGTTTCAGTCCGCTCCGTCTGGGACATGGTTGGTTTTGAGGGGACTACTTCCTGAGCCCGAATCACAGCAGAACTCACCGTGAAGCCCACCGAGTTCAACCGAGCTGTCAGAGTTGAGGGGAAACTGGTCCCTGCATCCCTGCTGCTCTCTGAGAGTCGCTCCGAGTGGCTGGTTCACTCACACGAGGCGCAAAAACTACTTTTACAAACTTTTCCTCGGTGAAGCTGCGTTCAAAGGCGAGTGGGACATTTGACACCCCACCAACCAAAGGACCAATGGGAGGCTCCGGTTGGGGAGGTCCATAAACATTCCTGGAGTCTTTAAAGCCAAACTGGGACTCAGACAGATTATAGTTGATACAATGTCATCAAATATTTCCAGCAGTAATAAAAGAATGCAATATTGTAATTAAACAAACAAACAAAAAAAACACACATTTTAAATATTTGAAAAAGGGACATGTAAATCATGGTATCTGTTCACATTTGCTGATTTAAAGACAGTTTTAAATCAGCTTTGCCACTTCTTTTGGGCTTGATTGAAAAATTGGAAATAAAGATTATTATTCTGAGGAACAGGAATAATATCTTACTTTTAAAAACATTTGCAATATTAAGTCAAGTTTAACAAAGTAAAAGCCCCACCTGATCCTGTTGTGAAATTAAAGAGAATGTAAAAAATGAGGTTATTAAAAAAATGTATGACTTAACATTTAATACTAAATCATTTTCTTGTCATCAGTTACAATGCAGATTAAAAAAACGTATTTACATATATTTAATAACCAGCACAATATTCCATGACATATATTACATAAATAAAACAGACAGCTGAACTTTTGGTATTTCAACTTAAATAAAATGCATCACTTACTCTGTTCTTCAATGTACCCAGTACATAGACAATATTTGACAACATTTTTAAAGCAAAGATAATAAGGTTGCATTTACCTATACCGCATTAAACATGCATATGACACTAGTAATGATATTTAGATAAAACGATACAAGCTGCGTTGAGGCGACACTGAAGGTGAAGAACGTCCTTCCCAAAACACCAGTGCCTGGAAAACACATGAGATTAGACACTGAACACAGAACTGCACACTTTCGACCAGCTTTGTATCTGATGGAGTCTATAAATCCTACGGTTAAGTGAAGTTGATTAGAGTTTTTCCAAAATGTGAAAGCGAAATAACAAAATATGTTTTGAAGCATTTCTCTGGCTCAGGAGGTACGTATTTGTCCTGCACCCGGTGGGTTGCTGGTTCAAATTTCGTTCCCTCCATCTCAGTCGTTGTGTGTTTGTATCTTTACGGTCAAAGGTCGTGGTAGCGCCAATGAAAAAGGGAATTTTGTTTCTGTCAGTCTGCCTCAGGGCAACAATGTAGCTTAGCACCATGAATGGGTGAATGACTTCATGTAGACAAAACAGTTTTGTTTACTTGATACAGCACAATGGAAACCCAGAACTTTTACCACATTTTTTGAGTAAAAGTGTGCTGTGTTTCATGAGTTTTGTCAGTTGTAAATATGATGTGAATTTTCCCTTTGTTCAGCGGTCAAGAGCTCTTATTCCCTCATATTGACTCAACCAAGACCGTACCTGTTGTAGTTGCTTCAGTGACCGCCACCACTAAGTTGTTTTCGATCCTGCAGCTGTAGGTCTCGCTGACCTTCGCCGACTGTAGAGTGCTTAGGATACTGTAAACCCCAGGTGAGCGTTCAGTGAAACTTGTGTTTGCGCTCAGTTCACTCCCGGTTTGGTTCAGCCACTTGACATCTGGTTTAGGAAACCAGCTGCTCGCCTCAGAGGTCAGGATGCTGTTGGAGAACTTTAGTGTGGGCGCTGAAAAGACTGCGACAGGAAAAGGAACGTATTTATTACGCACAAGACAATTTTCACAGAAAAAGTGACGTAGGGAAACTGAAAGGTTACCTGCCGTCCGGAGCTGAACGCTGACTGTCCCTTGTCCAACAGAGGACCTAACGGTGCAGGTGTACTCTCCCTCGTCACTGCTTCTCACGCTCCGCAGCAGCAGAGAGGCGTTACCTGTGGCCACAGCATCAGGGATGACCCCAGTTCTGCCTTTGAACTCCGCTGCTTGCCCATCCAGAGCCGGGGCTCCGTTCTCGTACCGATAAACCGTTCCCAGATTTGTTTTCTCCCAGCTGACCGACACTTCACCCAGCCTGTTTGGCCGACTCTCTGCAGAAACGTAGCAGCTGAGAATCTGGTCCTCGCCGAGGTTGGCGACCGGTTTGGTGTTGCTGCTCGTCACCTTGGACGTGGATCCTGCGGACGACAATTTGGGCTCAAAATATATGTTGTGCCCAATACTTTGATGTATAAGGTGGAAAAACTTTTCAGAAGGACAATTCAACACCGGCTGCGTTTCCATTCCGAATATGGAATGTGCATAAAGAAATATATGGTTGCATGCTTGGAGCTCCTGGTGTCATTTCAGCACACAAGGATCAGGTTCTCTTCAGTATAAACAAAACACAGAACATACTGAACACACCCATTGCATGTCTACTATCACTAAGCCTGACTGTGTCACTACTACTGGTAGTAATAGTAACAAAAGGTCAGCAGGTCTTACTTGAGAAGGCCAGGGACAAGATGAGGATGATGAAGGCTGCTAACAGGACGTTGAGGGTCACCATGCTGCATGAGGAGAAAAACAAACAGGAAACTGGAAGGAAGCAGGTTTAATAATCCATTTATATATGAGAGATGAAAAGCTCCTTGTTTCAGGATATTATCACTTTTACATTTTTATTTTCCAGTCGGCATTTATTGTTACACTGGACGTCTGATAAATGTCCCTCAGTTTTCATGTGGCTTAAAGACACAAGTTTTTTTAGAACCTTGAGGAAATTACATGCACTTTACAGGAATGTACAAAAATGGTTATACAAAAAAATCAGCAATATTTTCTTTCTTATTTATTGAATGTAGATGTTTTGTTACCAAAAAAATCCTCAAAACTAGTGCATTGTATTGCATTTGTTTGATGCACTATTTTATTAGTATTATGTTAAGTTTATATATGTTCAACAAGAATCCTATATTTACTGTAATCTGTTTGAACTGCCTCTAAAAAGGATATTTTCAAAACAAAAGTTCATTGTCTTTGCGCTTCAGAAAGTTTCACAACAATAAAACTAAACTTTAGCACAATGACATAGTCCTAGATATAGTGCATGATAAAAATAAAGAATCAGCTGTGAAGATAACTCATTTCAAAATGTTCAAGAAAAAAGTTCTCTTCATTATCAGAACCGAATTTCTGCGTATCTTACATGAAAAAAATGATTTGTCCGATCGTAGCCATGCCTCTAGAAGATCCTCTTGTTGCTCAACTCCTTCGGTCCAGATATTCTGCTCCTGTGCCTCTTTTAGATAATTCCTGTGTGTGTTTGTCCTGCAGCCTGCATAGATCCACTATCTCCTGCCTGCCTCTCTGCATGTAGGACACAACACCATGAGTAAACATTGCACTGTAGGTGTGGGTTTCATTCTGTTGTCACAGCGACTCATTTACCTCTGCAAAGTAAAAACTTTTGCGTGACAGGCGGAAGAATTCATTAAACGTCCAGTTTGGATCATTTCCAGTTAAATGTTCATATTATCATCATTGCATTTTCAAATCCTGAAGTAGCAAGCATAATCAATGCTGGATAAATTCTTGGTGCGCTAATGTATAACCAATTCGGAGGCTTTTTGTAGACTCTGCTGCTCCAACTTTTTAGTGTGTCATACTTTATAATTAAATCCTGGACCTGGAATGCAACATTTGGAAGGATGTTGTCAGTAAAGCAAAAGTTTATTTATGTCTTCACAGACAGAAAAGGTCATAAAGTGCTCAACTATCAGGGAAAACATGTACAATAAGGAATAAAAGCCCAAGTTTATATAAGAGCATGTTGGAATAAAAATGTTTTTAGCTGCTGTTTGATAGTTTCCACACAGTCCGTAGAAGTCCATTCCACAGTCTGGGTCCAACATCTTGGAAAGACCGCTCTCCTCTTGGTTCTGGGTTGGGAGACCACTAAAAGGTTTGGAGTTTATAAACTCAGAACACTGGGAAAGATATGTATTTGAATCAAAGCTGAAATACACAATGGACCCTGTAAAGGTCTGACAAGAAACATCAAAATGAAACCCAGATCTGATTGGCGGCCCGTGTAGAAAACAGGAGACGTACGGGTTTCCAGAACCTTCGACAATCTGAAGACGATCCAGCTCCTTCTGATGACAGCAGGTGAATGATGAAGAATATCATGAGGACGCAATAAGAATTAAGAAAGGAACCAAATCAATTCTGAGTCATTAGAACATTTTAATAAATAAAAAAGAACAATAGTAAAGATATGCTTATATATGAAAGTGAAAATAAAACCATAAAATCATAAAACAGTGCTGTTCTTCTGTATGACATAATGTTGCTAGAGAAAGTTTGTGTCTATGTTGGTTCATGGTTGTTGTCTCCAGTTTCTTCTCCTTCAATGTCTGTGGTGTAAAAGGCCGATGCTGACACTTTCCTCCAGACTTCAGAAATCTCAATGACGTTGTCGCTGTGCTGCAGATGCTGGTGGTGCCTGATGCTTTTGATGTATTTCTCACAGATTTTTTCCGCTTTCTCCTTGGCAATTTCTTGTAGCTGCTCATTCAGATGGTTGCCGAGTTCCTCCGCCAGCAGGTTGTCAAACACCACGCTGTAGTAGGGAGCAACACATCTGTATCCCGGTGTGCAAGCTCTCCGAGCCTCTGAGACGCTCCAGAGAAACAGAAAAGCGCAGCACAGGAAAAGGCCAAAGTCCTGAAACAAAAGGAGAACCACATTTTTAAAAATCAGCATTTTTCTTAAGGGACGGTGACGAGAATTCAGGCGTTTTCTCATTTTTGTTTAGCATCTGGCCACTTTCAGGGTAACTGTAAGTAGATGTTTTATAATATTGTATTTTAAGGGGATGCATGTCGTAAAGGCAAACACTCAAAACCAGAAAATTTTACTAAATTAATGCCAACATCACAGCTAAAGTGTGGAATGTTCTGTATCTAAAAGGAATGGAAAAGAGCCTCACATTCTTCTAAGCAAGTTTATTAAAGTTAGACACTAACATCAAAACGAATCTGCTTTGAGCTCCATAATCAGTGCAGTAATACTCACAAGTGACGTGGTCTTGTACTCGTCCTTGATGCGTTTCTCTTCGTAGGTCAGATTTGCTTTGCAAGGCAATCCGGTCTGATTTGAGTTGAGGTTTGTCATCAGGCAAAAGTACCAGTCTCCATCAAAGAAAACCAGAGAAATCCAGAGAGCTAAGAGACCGGCGTACCTTATGACAAGCTTTACCAAGTAGATTACGCTACATTTATTTGGGAAATGGCATTTGAAGAATCGTTGACTGGAAAAAGGTTTTCGGTTGTAAAAAGGCTCAACAATGTTGACGACAAAAGTCAGGATCAAGGGAGGCAAAGTCAAGTAATAGATACCGCTGGCATGTACACCAGGCCTGCAGGAGCAAACGAAGTGCATGTCAAATACATACTGCAGGATGGAGAAGAGGACCACCAGCAGGAACATGCTGACTGCATGTTGCACCAGCTTCAAGAGCCGCGTCGTGGACTCTGGATTGTGCGGCATTGTGTCTGAAGAGTTGCTGCCAAGTTGCTCCGGTTGTGTCGACGTCTTCTTGATGTTCTCGCCTTCCACTCTGGCTGAAGTCAAAATAGCTTCATCTCTGACGCAGCTGTCCACTTTTATCTACAACTAAACCACAATCAATGTGAGCCAGTGGTGAACCACAGTGTGCCACTCTTCTGCAGCCTGCTTTCATAATGATGGGGCCACTTGCTTTCAGTTTTCAGAGATTTCTGAATCTGCAACATTTTGTAATTTTAGTGAGCATGACACTGAAGAAAGATGTAGTTTGAATGCTTATCATTTTATTTTTTCTATTCACTTGTCCTCTCTATTGTGCTGCTGTCTGTCTTGACCAGGGTTTTATTTGTTCAAATGAAGGTTTAATAAAAAGTAAACATCTGAATCCTTCTGTTCTCGCTCTGAAGCTGTGCGCATTGACAACCGTCTTTGAGTTACGATTGCACTAGACTCTTTAAAACCTCAACACTGTCTGAAGAGTCCATTGGCGCATCTTTCCTCGTTCCTTGTATGCAGGAAATATTTTGTTAGTGTTTGGCAGAATGACTTTTGATGATTACCTTTGCTTCGGTAACGTCAGTGTCTGGTGTAAAAACAGTGACTGTTTCTTGGAAAGTCAAAAAAAAGTTTGAAGCTACATTTTTGCTAGTGGTTGTAAAAATAAATAAGTAAATAAATTAAGTGTAGTGGTGATTTGATAAAAAAAAATTTCAGGATGCAATTAGGCAATAGCATAACTGCACAATAACCTTGAGTAATTTGAAGAAACCCACATGGTTCTTGATTTACCCTCCAGTTCAAACCAACATGATGGAACCACAACTTCAGCATTTTCATTTTGAAAGTGTGATTAACAGTTGATAACGTTTACGTTCCCATTTCCTATGTGACACACACAGCTTTGACAGACTTCTTCTGCTGTCGGAAAAAATGTTCCATCACTTCCAATAGACAAGCTTCTCTTCCCTTTTTTTTTTTCTTACATCAAAATCAAAATGCCTGTTCTGTTCTGTATCAACTTAATGGCTGGTTTTCAGTTTTTCTTACTTTATTTTCATTTTATTCTACTTTTTTTGCTCAGTTTTTTCTTAAACAGAAGCTCATTATTACTATTAGAATGTATAAGAAAAAAATAAGATAAAAAAATAAACAAAATAAGACATACACATATAATCTGATTTAACAGATGTAAAAAAAAACACACAGCAGCTGATTATAACATCTTTTAGTTTTCCTATGAGTGTTTAGGATACATCTGGTCTGGTCATTCTTACTATACATCACATGAATATTTGAGGTTGGAAGAATTTCTGACAGGACATGAGAACTGATGTGGTTGCTTTTGGTGGTTTGCATTTCCCTGCTTGCTCAGTCTATTGTTTTTGTCTGCTTCAGTTTCTTCATTATGTATTTTTTACTTTGACTATTACAATGACAAATTAAAGCGTTGTTACATGTTTGATCAAATTTGTGAAGTTATTGTTGCATTCAGTGTGCTGTTCTGGTCCAGAGTTATAAAATAAATTTGTAATTCATTACATTTATGTCTTTAAAAAAAAGGAATATTTTTTTTACTCAATTCTGCATTGTTTTTCTGTATTGGATCGGTATTGGCCAATACTAGATCACAGATATCGGTATCGGAAGTGGAAAAAAATTGTATCGGTGAATCCCTATTTTTGAAACGCCAGCAAGAAGTTTTTTATTCCTAAAAACTTTTACTTGAACTTTTATGATGTACATCAATGATCATTGTTTGTTTTCTGTATTGTCTGTTGACAAAAAGCTTCTAAATTGAAATCACAGCGACTATCTTGCTCTTCTGATCGTAATATAATTCTAAGATCTTTGTAAACATGCACAAACCATGTGCTGTACTGTGGACCTCTGACCATAGTCAGAGTGATCTGACTATTTTTATTCTCTCCATATTGGTTTAGAGGCAAATACAAAACTGTGCCAGAATAAATCTCTGTTTAACTATCAAAGTTTAGAAAAATTCTCAGACATACCAAAATTGACACCAGTAGTTGGTTCTTCTCTGACTTTATTTTAACAAATGTTGTTCATCTGGGTAGTTTGAAGATTCTGGTGGAAACTGTTTTACAAACATTCTGAAGAAAGACAAATTTAAATTTGGTCTTTGGAAATAATGGACAAGCTCTCAAGTCATCTTGTCAAGGCATGACGTGAAAACCAATATACATTTTTTTTTTTAACATTAAAATCCTATGAAATGCTTCTTACTTAGTGATTCTATGTGGAGTAATCTGACTAATCTTGCGCAAATTCAGTATTCTCCGTGTCATCTGGACATGTGAGGTTAGCAGAATTTCCAAACATGTCATGTTCGTGCTGTGGTTGTTGTTTTAGTTATGATTTTAGTTATGTGCTATACCACCGTCATACAAATGTGATCTAAACCAGTCTGGTGTCGTTACCTTGATTCCTTCAGGCTTCTCATCGTCAGAGACATCATGAACAGTTACATTCAGACTCGGTTATTTGTGTATTCAGGATTTTTATAGACTGTTTTCTTTTTAAACTAGTTCAACAAAAATACAGAGCAAAGTTTGACAGAAATGTTAAAGGTGGGAAACATTTATCAGCTGCTACTAACGTACTATTTAAGAGGTAACTCTTATATAGAGAGCAAAAGTGTCAACATGTCCTTTCATATGAAGATTTTTAAATAAATATTGCCAATCTGATACAAAGAATTTACGCTGTCATTTTTGTGTTCATCTACATTAATCTATTTTGTCTAAACATTTATTTTCTGATACATCATTTGCTAAACGATGCAGATCTCGACCTTGGTCTTCTTCTGAAATGTCAGCTGTTCACTTTGCAGGTGGCGAGTCCATACCCGAGGCAGGCCCACTCATTTGTCATTTCTATGAAGCCTGGAGATGACGTGAGGCCGCTTGCTGAAACACAGACATTCGTGATGAATAAAACCTCATCATTTTACATCTATGCGTAATCGTTAGCTTCAATAAGATTTGAACGAGGTGCAGAGTTTAGTCAGTAAGCAGTGAGTGTTGAGATGACAACTCATGATGGGAGTGGGAAATAAACGGTTCAGTTGTTTACTCACATGAGAGCAGATTGTAGAGGTTACAATAGTTGAGTCCATCATCAAGAAGGCTGGTGAAGCTCAGAGAAATGGACTGGCCCTGGGAAATATGGCAAAAATATGCTTTTAAGCTTTTATATGATGACCAAATTAATGATAAGAGCTTTGTAAAAAAGCTCAATGTGTATACATTTTAGCCATAAGTGTGTGTCACAGGTGTGACTGACACACACTTAATACCTATAAACAGCTGCATTGTAGATACAGGTGCTTTAAGATCTTCTTATACCCTAAAATATAAAATGTATCATTTTAAAAAAAAAACGCATACATTTCTTTTTACAGATCTACCAGTTTAATAAGGAATGCTTTTATACACACCCAAACAAGAAACAGCTGCATTTAATGACATTCTTCTCTGATGCCCCTCTGGTGGATAATCTAAGTACTACATGTTGTATTCATCAAAAGCTCAGTTTCCACGAAATATAAACTATTTTTTTTCAATGTTTAGAATAAATTTTTTTTGAATTTTATTATTTTAAATAAATAATATTTTTTAAAATAATCATTGTCTTTAATAAAAAGGAGGGACGATGAGAAAAATTTGTAAAAAAAGTTTAAAAAAAAATATCTTACATTTTTGAATGATAAATTTTGAATCATAATTTCTAAGTAATAAAATCTAATCTGTTTTTATTTATTATGATAAGCTATAGGTCAATATAACTTTGCTTCTCCAGCGAGCATAGCAAGTAGGAAACATCCAGAAGCTTCTTTAACGGAAGCTCCTGTAAAAAAAACCAAGAATTTATGGCCGAAGGTATGAGGCAGAAATGTAAACAAGTGTAAGAATGAAAATAGTACATAAATTGAGGGAAAACATTCTTAAGCCAATGTTTCTTTATATATTTTGTATAAATATATAAAGAAACCAGCTAACCAAGCCTATTCCCTTGTCAATCGAGCAGATCAGATGCTGTGGAACGATAGGATAGTAAGCCACAAATGTCAAATACACCTTTAATTCTTTAGCATTGTCCACAGACAATGCTAAAGAGTTAGCTTCTTTAGAGACTCCCCCAAAGTGACTCTTTAAGAATCAGTAGTAGTTCATGAAGCTAACCGCTTGCCAAATAAAAAAAACAGAACATGGCGAGCCCAAGCGAAAGCTGTCACAGCTTCGAGTTCCGCTCACTCACGCCCTGTTTCCCGTCTGAAAACTGTCAACTAAAACAGGAAACAGCGGAGTTCCTCACAGACACTCGACAGCCGCTGGCCATGATGGTGGGATTCAGCGTGAACGTGATGTTCTCGGCCTGCCTGCCGGGAGACGTGTGGTTGGCTTTGAGGATCACAGTGGCTGACACAAGCTGGGAGGACAACAGCACCTTTATTAATGATAATGATAAGAGCTTTGTAAAAAAGCTTTTAAGAGCAAATCATAAACCTGAATTAAACCTGAATGAATCAACCACATGGTTGACCCTGAAAAGCTCCTACCTGATAGTGGCACTTATCACAGCCCATCATCGGGCTGAAGGCTTCAATTTGCTTCACTAGTGTGGTGCTGATTTTAGTGCAGGGCATTTCAAAGAGCCTAGAAGGAGAAAAGTGAAACACGGGATTTAGATTTGTGTCTGGCATGATGTCCTCACAGAAATGAGTACTTACCAGAGAGAGCTGCAGAAAGCGTGGTAGGGGATGGGGATGGCAGCGAGGGAGCCAAACACGCCAACAAGGAAAGCAGAGACCATCAGCAGAGTCGTCATGGTTACAGGTTACTTCCTGGTGTGTGGTCCTGAGACTGATGAGGGATTGTTGGTCCTCTTGAGCTTTATAAGGGTTCGTCATGAGGAAACCAAGGAGGCCCAAAATCGATTCCTTCACAGATGTGACTTCTTCCGACCATTTTAATTATCTCCTGATCATGTGGCCCATGATTACTGTGTTTACGTATTGTGAGAATAACAAGGGGTTTGTGTCCTTTCTTCTTTTGTCTTCTGAGATTCAAACGTAGTAATGACCTTTTGTAATGACCTTTTATAAAACAAAAAGTGAAACATTGAGGTTTGTATGGTTGTTTGTTTTTAAAGTAACGTATTCTGTTCAAACCATAGCGGTACAATAACTTAGATTATTCACTGAAGTGAAACAGCAGCTTACTGCAAAGGAAAACAGGACATTTAAGATTATATACCACATCAGGCTAACAACCTTTAAAAAGCAGAATTATGAGCTTAATAACAATTATGTTTGAGGCCTGCTTAAAGTTAGCTATTTTCAATAATCTGAAAAGTTATTCTCATAGGAGCCCATATTCGGTGGATATGTGGATGTAGTTCTTTGTTTGTTGTTTTTTATTTTAGAAATATTTCAGTAATACTGAACAAAATGTGTATTTTTCTGTATAAAACTTGTCAGCAGTTTTCAATCAGTGATCTAACAGGAAGTGCTTCACTTACAGTGACTTTCATGCAGGAAAGAGCAAACCGTTAAACCGGGTCAGAGGTCGGCTGTGTGACATAAAGTTGTGATCTTGGATGCTTAACTTCCAGCTTTATGATTTACAAAAATATGACACACGTGTTAATGGAGGTGCAAATGACCTTTCTGTTATAAATAAATTATTAGCTTTATCTCTGAGGATTTTGACGGCTTTAGCAGCTTCAGGAGATTCTGACATAATATCTGAATTATTCTAAAGTGCATAGCTTTAAAATTGACCAATGGCAATGAATTAACCTACTGTCTATGCCTTAAAAGACAAGAATGGTTATAAAAAAAAAAACAAACAGCATTCACACTCCTTGAATGTTTTTACACGTCACATTACAACCACAACCACAAACGAAACGGCGGGATATTTATTTGGAATTGAAGTCATGGATCAACACCAAGTAGAGTATTACAGTAAAGTGATACTCAATCAACAATCTGCTCTTGTTTGCAGCCCTCCTGACTCAATACCTTTTACATTCAGGTTCTCCAGAGAGAGACAACGTAGCATTAGCATTAGCATTATGCGCTGTTGCTTTTATTAAAGATCGAAACAAATCGGAGGTGAAGCGTTCTGAAGCAGCCGGCCTTCCAGCTTATTGTTGCAGTGAAAGAATGTGTGTAATGCAGAATGAGTCGCAGCGGTCAGGGCAGGTCTGAGAACAACGGCGGTCTTGTTGGGAATTCTTCACACCTTCTCTGTGTGGCTAAATGAGCGGGTTCCTCCTCCCACACATGAGGGTCACAAGCCGCTCCGCATCCTGTTGTGTGTGTGACGGTCGCTTTACCTCTCTGAGTGGACGGGGGGCAACAAGGAGCACTGGAGACACGGAGCGACCTGAAGGGTTTTGGTCTCAGTTTCTTCATTTTAATGCTCTACGTTGACCTACTTTCTGTGTTTCTTGTGTTTGCTTCTGTTTTAAACAGTATTCCCTTTACATCTTTGTTCCATTGAAATTTTTTCCCCTTGTTTTTTCTTTAACTCTCTTATTGTTGTTCGAATTATGAGTAAAGTGACCAAGACCAAAGTTGCAACATTTGTAACGTTTTCAGCTGATGTGGTTTGCTTTCACACGAACCAAACCTTTGCAAAGACCCAGGCTTGTACGTTTCTCATTGATGGCAACGCACCAAGAACCATGAAGAAGACATGAGCGCAACTTCTTTCTTGACAAAGTTTAAACAAAAATGGGAGTGCCACCAGGATGTAGTTTTTTTCCTTTGTCTTTGCTAAAAGACCAATCCTAGCGCTAGATTCTTGTGTTTGTTTTACTACAGTTCACTTCCTGTCTTGGATCGATCCCCAGTCTGCTAGCATCACAATTCACTTCAACCAAACCGAAATCTAGGTTTGTAAGTTAGTTTGTTTTGGTCTAAAACATAATGATACTTGTGTGTAAGGTTTAGTGACATCATTCCTATCTGTCCACTATGCCGCCATCGTTTGCCCGTCTCTTCTCTGTATTTAATTCATTGGTCCCCCATCCTCTCCTGGTCTACTCCTCTCAGCCCAGCTGACTGGGGATCCACTGAGGCTCGTTCTGCGCCTGCTGGATGATGGAGCAGAGCTGCATGCAGGCGTCCTGCAGGTCGTCATTCACCACCACGCTGTCAAAATACTGTTTGTATTTGGCCTCGATCAGCTGAGACGTGTCCTCCAGCTCCAAAAGTCTTCCTCCTGAGTCACAAGAGAGGGAAATCTTTCATTTCTTAGTTCCATGACATTCAGCACTGGTGGTTTGTTCGTTGTAATGCTGCTCCATTCCAGTCCAAACTGGTTAAATCGTGATAGAAATGAACGCATGGGGGCTCTTACTGTGAATGCCCTGTTGACGGCGTAGCTGGTGATGATTCTGGCGTTTCTTCGAGTCTGTCTCAGTGTTTCTGGGCTCGGCGCTTTGATGAAAATCACGTACGGCTTCAGATTCCTCAATCGCAACAGATGGATGCCCTAGAATCGAGCAGGATCAAAACAAAACGTAACCAACTCTGTCTGCCGCAAAGAACAATGACTTGGGAAATCATTCGTCCTATTTTCCATCTTACTGCATAACAGATGTATGGTGATGCTCATCCCCTGGATTTTACATACTACATACATGAGACTGTATGCATCACGCTACATGCATGATACATAATTGTCTCAAGTACAGTTATGTATAATTTTTCTATGTGTGGTTTTTTAATCAGCCTGTAAATCTAACTACTAGATCACATCACTGCTGCTGTTTACGACAGTTTGTGTTTAAATTACGCAGCTATACTCACTAACTAGTCTTTATTCTGCAGATTCCTAATTTTGAAAAGTATTTTCTTTTACTGTACATAGCTTGCTAGCTAGTTGTTGATTTGTCAAGTTAGCTAGTGGCCTGTTTATCTAGTGGTCTAGTGAGCTAGCTGTTTATCCATCCGTCCGTCCGTCCGTCCGTCCGTCCGTCCATCCATCCATCCATCCATCCATCCATCCATCCATCCTAAACTCACAGGTGGTTCAATGTCGATGATGCACATCCGTCCTCGTTTTATCACCTCATCAACAGCATCAATGCTGGTTCCATACAGGTGGCTCTTACTCTCCCCATATTCTACAAATCTGAACATGAAGCAAAGTTCAGTTCATCGCAACTAGAGTGCAAAGTCAGAGATAAATGATGTAATTAGTAAAATACCCCTACCTGTGGTTGCAGACCAGGTACTCAAACAGCTCTTTGGTGACAAAGTGGTACTCTCTACCCGCCTGCTCCCCTTCTTTTATTGGACGGGTTGTGTCTGCGAGAATTATTTTTGCTGAATTAAATGTTGCAGTCAAATTCACTTCTATTTTCCTTTAACACATAGTTTGTGGTCTCCAAATTGTGAGACTTGTAGACTTGCAGAATACTGCCAACAATTAAAAATGATTTTAAAAAACCCTGTTTTGGTATCAACATATGTATTTTGTGCAAATTAGATCATGAAGGCATCACTTTGCATCATTTTTATATTAAATGTCAGTGATGAGAAATTGTTATTGTCTTATTTACAATGTTTGGGATATATAAATTATTGTTCAGTTCAATTTAGGTTCATCTTAATTTATTTAAGTCTCATAAACACAGAAATTGTAAAGATATAAACATTATATTAAATCCCAGCATTTTAAAATATAATTTTCTTGTTCTGTTTTTCATCCGTTTCTTTTAATACTATATAAACAGAGGAACTGCGATTAGCGAGTTGAGATCACATACGCGGTACGGGTCCCTGGAAGGTGGACGGGTTCAGTTTGATGTCTCTTTCCTCAACTCATTGACTCCGACTCCAGAAGCTCCTGTTTTAGGACGACACACACAGACGCTTTTGCACATCTGACTAACGTTTTGTTTGTCGGACGATCTAAAATGTCTGAGTGCAACAAAAAAGCAAACAGAAGAAATCAGTTGAGGGAGCAGTGATTATTTCACTATCAATACAAATGAACTGATGTCCTGATTTGGTATAGTATATGGAATATTTTGGGTGTTTGGGGATGAATTGGGCCAGGCCTTCTCTCACCTATGAGGATGATGAGGCGGTGGTTCTCCTGCGGGAGGCGCTGGTACAACGCCACCTCCTCATACGGGGAGGACAGAGCGCTGCTGCTGGGCGAGCAGGAGGTGCAGGACTGCCGCCTCCTCTTGTAGGACGTCCTCCTCCAGAGGCGGAAACTCCGGCGGAAGCCAGCTGAAGTCCAGAAGTATTGTTATGCTTGTGACTAAAAATACAGCATTAAATATGATTTTTATGCTACTAATACAGCTTTATAACAAGTTATCGAGATCATGAAAGGATATTGTTTAGC